ATGAATGTATCTCTGAAGGGAACCGACTGTCTTCAGACAAGTTTCGATGGCATTTTCATTTGATCCGATAAAGTAGCATTCATGAGAGGAGCTGCTTTGATTACAGCCATTAACTGGAGAACCCGCTAGTTTTATCACTCTAAAAGCGCCTCCCGCTGGCAGAGAATGAGTTTTCATTTTAAATAAGCCCGTATACAGCAACATTGCCAGTTTTTGTTGTTGTTACATTTTTTTGTTTTCTGCAGCGACTCGGAGCACTTTTCATACCCTTTTTCCTGGCTGAAGCACATTTGTTTCAATCTATAAGAAAAATCAGTCTATACTACCAGTCAAAAATTTTTGAAAAGTAAGATTTTGAATGTTATTATTTTTTTTGAAGAATTCTCTTCTGCTCACCAAGCCTGCATTTATTTTTATTTGAATATATTTAAAAATGTAATTTATCCCTGTGATCAAAGCTGAATTTTCAGCATTATTACTCCAGTCTTCAGTGTCACATGATCCTTCAGAATATCGACCGAAATTAAGAAACATACCGTGATATCAATTTTGGCCATATCGTCCAGCCCTACTCTGACTCTAACAAATCAGGCTTTGGCGTCAAGTATCACAACAAAGCCTGTTTGTGCGGTTGAACGACGTCATTTTGTTGCCCACAAAATATCACTTGCTAACTCTAACAGATGGCCTAGATTCCTCCCACTTTCCTCCTCTTATGACTATTCAGTGACTCGGCTTGTTCCTCACCCTCTCTCGGCCTGCATTCATCAAAACCACTGAGCCAAAACCCTGCTTCTTCCTCCCCATGCGAGGAAAATTAAATTCACCTGTCCTGAGAGTAATTTCACCTTTCACAGAGTGGAAGACAGACACAATTAGCGCCTGCACATGCATCACATCAGTAGTCCTTCAACTGAACTCAGTGCACCCAAGCAACACCTTAACCTTGTTAAATCACAATCTTAAACAGAAAACAGTTCACATCCAGGTTTAAGACAGGCCTCATTGAATAATAACCAGCATTTGTGGTCTGTAAGGGTAAAGTTGCTGTCACACTGGACTTTGTGCTCTGTTCTCTTTCTTTTATACGCATGCAAATGCTGGAGAGCATAAATGCAAGCTCATGTGGAGTATGGTATTTTGCTGAGTTTGGTGAACTCGTATAGAGAAAAAGCTTGACCATGAGAGGATGTAAACGTGTAAAACATTGTAAATGTAAAACATTGGCCTCTTGGCTCAATACAAAGAATACAAATAAAGATGCACGGCATGCAACATTGTGGAAAAGTGGAATAGGTGATTTATCTTCCCATTTGAAATTATCAATAACATAAATTATGAATTACAGTTAGCAGTAGTAGTAGTAGTAATATAAATGTAGAATAAAAATAATAACAATCACAAATATTATATAACAAATATTAATAACAATAATGATAATAATTACATTATAATATTTATATAATATTATAATGTATAATTTAAATATTATAGTAATATTTGATTTATTATCTGATATATTATTTATTTAAAACAGAAACCCTATAAAATTATATCACATCCTGTTGCTGATAATTATGGTACAAAATTGGAGCAGATGCTATATTTTCCCATTTTGAATCACCCTTAAGTCATCATTTAAATAATGAATTATTGTTAGTAGTAGTAGTCATATAAATGTATTTATTATTATTGTTGTTGTTGTTGTTAATCACATATTATATATTATATAATTCATAAAATATATAATTAATAATAATAACAACACTAGCAACGATAACAATAATTGCATACTTACAGTTTTTTGTTATGTATTATTTATTTAAAACAGAAGCATAACATCAAATCCTGTTGCTGATCATTGCTGCAGGAAAAAATGCAATCGGATGCAATATTCTCAAATTTTGTCATATAAGTTGATTATTATTATTATAATAATACTAATCAGAAATATTATTACAAATATTATGCCTATTATTAAATCACACAATATTAATAACAATAATGTTAATAAAAATGACATAGTTATAATTATTTGTGAATTATGTAAAACAGAAGTCTTAAAGCATGGCATCTTATGGCATCTAACCCTGTTGCTATATTTCACATTTGAATTATTATTATTATTAGTTATTTTCTTATTTTCTTAAAAAACACCAGTTGCCATTAATTGTTGCAGGGAAACTTAGCATGCTTAAAGCCAGTGTGACCGCACCTTTATTCGCAGGATAACAGCTGTTCAGGGTGAGCGTTCTTGGCACTGAAGTGCCCAATCAGAGGTCAGCGCTAGAACAGCGATGGAAACTGTGGATACACACGAGAGCGGGATGAGACAACGTTGACACACCTTTCCCACATGCTACACTTATTCACGGGCACCTTAATCCTCTGCCACAGTCAAAGCCTGGCATCCTCATGTCAGAGCACATCCATAGTGGAATTAAATAAGACAGCTAATTACCATTTACCTCAGCAGGATCCCGGCTGGATGTTGGGATTCTAGCTTTCAGAATGCGTGTAATTGTCTGTTGAATAATGCCGACCCACGCTCCTTATATCTGACTTGGCTCACTCGCTCATGAAAAGACACTCATGAGTTGATAAGCGGGATGTTGCAGCTTAAGCCTTTGGAGAAACACTAATGCCAAGTGCTGCTGTGGGTCCCCCTTACTGTGTGAAAAGCAGTTTATTAAAACTCCCTCAGGAGTCCCAACGGTACAATTAGTGTTGAACTTTGCTATAAGGTAATCATACACAATTTTTGGAATCTGCAACTTTTCCTCTTAGCAAAAATAAGCAGCAGTAGCAATATAAAAGCATCCTGATATAACTAAGTTTGCATATAACTAAGTTCCTGCAACCTCTAATACTTCCAGTTTTCCAAATGCTGGACAAAATAGACTGTCAGTTACACATTCAAAATCATTTGCTAATAATGTCATCCTCTCTAATTTGACTTCTAAATGTTATCCATCTGAAAAAAATGAAAAGATACAATTGGGTACAGAACATTGCTATATACTATTAATGAAGGCTTTGTAGATTTGATAGTCAAAAGTGAGCTATACTGAGCTATAAAATATACGGAGGGATTCGCTCCCTCTGTAAACCCTTCTTTTATTTAATCTCAGTCTCTCTGAGACTTTTCCTCTCACAAAAGGGCTTTACTGCATCTAAAATACTATTCTCATTAGAAATGTTCTCTCTCTCTGAGACACTTCTCCACATTCAACAGTCTAGGAGGGTAGAGATGCATTAAACATGGGCGCTGGTTCCCAATCTAAAGTGCATGGAGTGCTGCTTTATGTCTGAATCAGTAATACTGCCCACAGGTCAAAAGTACTGAGGACAGAATAGGGAGATGGTAGAAGACATGTCTCGCAAGCCCCATCTGTTCCTATAATGATATCCATTTATCACAGTGCTGTGGTTTTCTAACTAATCATAACATCTTAATAAACATTTCAGCTTTTTATGATATAAAGGTCAAAATTCAACTAAAAATGTTACAATAACGACTTACCTTACATCATGTAGTGTAATTTAATATTTACCTTTAATACCTGACACCTGATATGAGATCTCTTGAATTTGATCAAATATAGAAAGCCTTCACAGTATGATTGTATCTGTTGCAATGAATGATTTACCCCACTAGGGGAGGAACTACTGGTCCAAATGGCTCAAAGTATTACAGATGCTGCTCTGAGGTTATGACAGGGCATTAACTACATACTGTGAAAGCTAGGTTTTATGGTTTAAAAATGCTCATACTCTTTCAAAACTGTAATTGGATGTCTCCATATATTTATTTTTATTCAACATCAAGATTTTAAGTTAAAATGTACATGTGTGTAACAGAAAGTCATCTTATATCCTGTTACTGGCCACCGTTTAAAATAGCTGTTACTAGTTCATTTTAAATGGTTTTGCAGTGTGAAAAATGAACTTATGAAAAGTACATATATTCTACGCAGAATCTTAATTAATATGGTCATAAACACTGTATAATACGAGCTGAGAAATCTGTTTAAATCAGCTTTAATTGAATTATGCCATTTCACATCCAGTGTCAGAATAGATTATTATCTATTCATTGTTTGTTTTAAATATTTTTATATAATTTAATTTTATATTATTTTATATTATTACATTTTTTATATAGTTTTCTTATCTTTCATCAAATTTACATTCTTTACCTTTGTGGCAACTATACAGGTCACTCTGAGACCGAACTTTAACTAGAGAATAGGATATCATTAAATATATAAAATACTTTTGCCCCATATTATAAATGTTTAGGGCATTTGCGACTTTTGGTGTCATTTTTTCCCAAGCCATGGATAATTTCTGACCCTGGTCACACTACAGGATGCTTCTAAAACTGCTTAAAGATCCAGCTTCCCAAATTACAGTCATTTTAACTTTGATTCAGCCAGATCTTAAACTAACCCACGTGAAAGTTAAGCCCCTGTTAAGCCACATGCACATCATTCCCTGCCAGATGTTTGTCTGAAATCTTCTAAAACATCCATGACTGAAGCAAGTGCTTCTTTGACCCCACATTCAGTTTCTACAAAGAAGAAAAGACTGTCCAGAATTTAAGACTACTCAAGAATTCAAATAAATAGCAGGATACAAAGCCACAACGTTCTATAAAGTTCACATTCTTTAAATAAATCTCACCCATTACAGCCATACCAAGCTTTCAATGCCTTAAGGGCAATATGACACATGTAGGTTATATCTGTCCTTACTTTATGCCATTTGAGTCACCTATTATTTCTCTTAAAATGCCCCAGATGTCAACAGAGGAAAACACATCTGACAACTTTGAGGCTTTGGGCATGAAACACAACACAGACCCGTGCAAAACGACGGAGAATGTGGAAGATTGTTTTGATAGGAAGAGGCTGAATGCACAGGTGCGAGTCCCTATATGCGCCTTAACAAAATCAAGTTGGTATTTGAATTTCCCCATAATAAATACGTGCTCTTACCGTCGATCCAAGCGCCCAGATGATTCAGAGTGGCATCTTCAACTTCTCCGCACGTTCACACATACTGTACATGTGTGTGTGTGGACAGCGACAGTAAATGAATGCTGCCCGGAGCGCGCACGAACGCGGTGTGATGTCCAAAAAAGCTGTCTATGTAGGCAGTTCACTAGATAGTCTGACGTCTTTGCAGACTCCCTTTCCAGCCACGTTGTCTGCCCCGTGTTAATTTAAACAAACAACCCGGATCCTGGTGCTGTTGACTACATAGGTAGAAATCTGGTTGTAATTATCGCGGCGCAGTCGGTTTTCCGCAGCAGCCGTGTCCTTCCTCTCATGCCGACTGAGGATGTGAGCGCAGCCGCCGAGATGCTCGATCGTGGTGCGACCCGAGGCAGACTAGAGCAGTCACCCAATGTGATGAGCCTGCTAGACGGCGAAACGATGAAAACAACAAACTGTTAGATCGACACAGCCAGTGACATGACAGCATGCTTGCTATTAATTACAAAGGTGAAGCAAGGCTACAACGGTAATTCAAAGTATTTTAGGCACATACATATATGCATACTTATATGTAGGCTATAGCATATTTTAATTTATGGTGTATTTTACATATATGTATTTGTTTACATATTTATATTTTTCTTTTTCTTTTTTCTTAAAGGTTTTTTTCAGCCTTTTTCTTTCTTTCTTTTTTTGGTTATGGTCAGAATCCTGGCTGGCAGCAGTATTTTGTGAACTGCAGATGTCTAATGATCTTTCTGGGAAGGCTTTAAAAGGAGTTCGTTGCAGTTGTCCACCTGCTGGTGATGATTGCGTGAATTCGTTTTTCTCAGTCTTGTTTGGATATAAAGCTTCTAATTTTGTTATATTTTTCAGATGAGTTAAATGGCTATAAAGATCTCATTCCAAAATGACACCAAGGTTCCCGACTTGAAGGAATTCAATTGAGTTTCATGTTTTCTGCCAAATGTTAAAAACATCATAATGATATATTTGTTTATTACAAATATGCAGCTTTTCGCTACATGAGACTTGAATTGATGGGCTGAAGTCATGTAAATTTCTTTGTGGAATAATGTGGTGTTTTTATTAGCTGTTGGGACTTTCATTCTGACAGCACCCATTCACTGCAGATGATCCATTGGTGAGCAAGTGATGAAATGCTCAATTTCTCCAAATCTGTTCTGATGAAAAGGCAAGCTCATTTACATCTAAGGCCTGAGGGTGAAAAAAAATTTCAGCAAAATTTAATTTCTGGTGAACTATTCATTTAACACAGCAAGCACAGAATAAAATTATCATTGCATTTGCCAAAGTTTGCAAGGTTAGTGACATTAAATCTTTTTGAAAGAAATGTTTGAAGCTGTTGAAGCTATTATTTAAATTAGTTTTTCCACACTACTGTAGTATAACATATCTCAGACAATCTCGCCCTTAAGTATCATCCATGAACAATACAAACCACTTTTCCTGTCTGCGTGGGCGGTTCATGGCCAGAATATGGACCAGACCTTTGCAGTCTAGTCAGAGATCTGGCTACACTAGACTACTGTGCATCTAATCATTAATCTCATTAATGCAATGCCGTAAACAAATAGGAAATGAAATGGTTTTATTTAGTACAACTGGGTTTTTGTCAACTCATAGCATTTTAAAATATTACAGTACATTGTGACAATTCATTTGCATAATGACCTCACTGTGATAATGCATTATAAGATCTCAGTGCTTGATAACCTTCTCTGTAATATAATAAACATTGTCATGCTCTGAAATCATAATAGGAATAATATAAAGAAACTGAAAACTAATTTGATTACACAGATTGAGTTTCAATGTACTCCCTGTCTCACCCTCTGCCTCGGGACTATTGCATCTCAACAGGTGAATCACAAAATGTACTGGCCACCCTTGCAAAGTCCTGTCTTTTTTTCCCCTTACAGCCTCATTTGGAATGCATCCACCAAAATATCTAATCAACAGATCAGTTTTATTCTTGGCCCGAGCTATTAATTTCCACAGGCTATCACATTGTCATCAGTGTGAATCAAAAATCTCTCTGAATGAGGAATCTTAATCATGCTCCCTCAAACCTAAAACTTCAGCTGAACTGAATGTCTCTACAGTCTGGGCACATCAAGGACACAGTCGACTATGAAGAATGTACTGCATGTGTGCATGATTCAACCGCCATAGAACTAATGAGTTTAAACTAATGAGCTAATCAGACAAAAATAGCCTGTCCTCTAAAAGATACAGAGGTCAAAGGTCAATTTTGCTCAAAAGATGTTCATTTCCTTCCTATATAATATGCAAAAAGATAACACCAAACGAATAGGATATGCAGTATTTATGAAACAGACAAACAATACCTGGTTGACACATAGCATCTCTTGGAATTCTGAAGTGTGCAACCACTGCTTTCCCATAAGGCCACAGATGCAGAGAAGCGGTCAGATTCAAATTTTATTTTATTTTATTTTTTAAATGCCGGAAAACTATGAGCCGAGCAGAAAATTTGTCCCTTTTTGCTAAATTGTACTTATTTAACAACATCAGAGTAAATTGCTTTCATACTACACAACTAAAGAACATACTTCAACAGTGAACAAGTTCAAATTCAAAGACATAATCTGAAAGTAGAGGAATTCAGAAACAACCTTAGTCATTTTAATATGGAAAGTATGCTTTGCCCTAAATAATTTCTCTCGTTTTAGGCACCTTTTATCAGTTCATGAAAATAAACAGTCTTTCTATGACAATCTTTTATCAGCTTCAAAGCCACTTTCCAATTCCACGTGCCCTGTCCAATAGTTTTTTAGCAAAACGTAGCTGTTTGCTTGTTTGATGTTGTCTTGATTTGGTTTATATTTGTCCAGAAATCTACAGAAAAAAATCAGTTTGAACCTCTACTTGCTTAAGAACAGTCAGGGAATTAAAAAATGGCATGTATTCTCCCACAAGTCTATGTTCAAAGTATCTTTGTCCCATGAGTATATAAACCCAATTCAGATTAAACCCAGTGGGGTTTTAAGTAGAGAAGAAAGTTTGTTCATTTATTTTTATAACATTTTCTTTTTCTGCTTGAGAACAATGTGCTATTAGTAGGGTGGTTTTGATCACTATTTTAATTGTTTTATTTTTGACACAGGTATGTTTTGTTCAGTTTTGCTATTTCAATCTAAATACTTAATGATCTGTAACCACTGTCTGGATATTGTCTTTTCCATTGTCATTCTACTGAATTTGCTATTTGCTTTCCAATTATGTAAACCAAATACTAAAATGGTTGAACTGAAGTTTAGTTTGGAAAAGCACATCCATCATCTGCTTGTGCAGATCATTTCCTTCATTTACTCCATGCACTCCAAATTAGTTTCAATGTTGATGAAGACGAATTTTTAATGACTGTGACCACAGTGCAGGATGTCCTGCTCCCTTTCCACCCTGTATTTTTGTGAGCATCACCCACAGCGGGGAATGGATGTCGGCAAGGTTGGGATCAAAGGTTGTGATGGAATCATGGGTATGAAGATAATTGGCCTATTTGTGCAATGCTTACAAATTGCAGAGTGAGTGGAAGGCAAAGGACAAATTCTTTGGCATCCAATAACCATGCTGCTGTTAAAACAAACACAACCAGACCTGTGCAAAACTGCTTTGGAAATGTTCCTTAAGACCATAACAGGGATACTGATATTATAATAAGTAAAAGCTGATATTATAATAAGTATATTATATATACTTTATCATCTATGACAACTCATGTTAACATGAGTGATGTTTACATTCTATTTGTCTTACATAATGTGTGGCTATCTGTCCATAACAAATCACTCTATAGTAAAGTGTCAGTGTAAAATTTATTCAATTTGTCCTGTAATACAGCTAAAAATATGTGCACTTCCTGAAGGATGACACTGCTTTATTTTCTGATGAGCTCATAGTTTATGTGTTGCCCTTTCAACACATCACTGGCAACCTTGACAGAGTCAAACAACCAGAAAGAATTGATCCCAGAGGGAAACCATTGAAAAGAGTGTGAATATGTGCTATAACAGGACCATCCAAGAGGTTTTACCACTCGACTGTACTTCATCTAGGAGTGTCATTGATGCTCCACAACATTCCCTGACAACAAACCCAATGTGCTCATGGTCCCAAGGGTATGTGTGTGTGTATACGCCTGTCTGGGCAGGATTTCCCAGCATATTTAGAAAGCTAATGAATACATTATAAATCTCTAAGAGCGTAAAATCTACAGTGGTGAGCGTATCCCACTAGAGGGCTGTTTTATTTGAGATATGCAGCTCGTATTGATTACTCACAGCCATAGCTGTGCACAGAAGCACAGCTGGATAGAGGAAATATCATGTTACAATGTGCACCATAATTACACTGAATAAAATTGGTGTATTTTAAAACATTTTTCATTCAGAAATTGCTGCTAAAAATCACAAATAATTGCAAAGAAAGGGCAAGTAACATATTAAAACATAATAATTAAACATAAAACTGCAAAAAAAAACTGAAATGGTATTTTCTTGTAAAGCAAACTCCAATAATCTGTTTAATTTACACATTTGATGAGCACACAGGTATGTGCAACCCAGCCTCATGAAAAATATGATGACATTTTTGCAAAAATCATTTGATGTTGCTTTTTGCACATTTCATGGCCATTTCAAAATTAAATTACACTACCATGCCAATATTTTATTACGTTGGTTCATGCACATATCATGGTAGTTCAGTAAATGCCCGATGAGTGGCACTAAAAAGTTCATGCTTTTCGCATTTTAAAATAACATAAAACCTACACTAAATATTTCCCCTGAAATTAACCAATAATGAGATCAAAATTAATTTTCTCTAGCAACCACGCCATTTTACCTTGTTTTTACATGGATTTGAGCACTTTTTTTTAGCACGTATGTGTTTTACAGGACTCTGCATCATTAGTGCAATGCTGTACCAGGTGAGCTACCTAACAAGTTTACACTGGAAAAGTCATACATATGAAGACGGATATGTGATGCAAATTTTAAAATGTATTACTTTACAAATCATGCAATATGGTAAAAGTGTGAAAGGGAAATAACAGTACTGTGCAAGGAACCACACAGAATTTAATCTTCATGACTTGATAATCTACCTGTAATCATAATTTGCGTGAAATGGTTTCAGAAAACTGCAGCGAGCTGTATGTAACAGCATGGTTTTGGAGTTTGCAAACATTTTGGCAGATGCATGTTTTTCCAACGAGCTTGGGTTGCGCATACAGTAATACATTATTTCCTGACAAATGGGGTTGTTCATTTGACAAGAAGATAGGTGATGCAGATCTTCATTTTCACCTAGTCAGGGCAG